ATTAATCTCAAAATTAGGAACATTTCCTTTGTATTATGGAATCATAGCCCTGCAAATGGTCTCCAGGGCTTCACTTTCTATTTTTAAATGCATCTGAATTTAAACCATCACCAATCAAATCAAAGAATATCTATTTTGCCTTCAGTCCTTATTCAGAAAATATTTTTATTTGCTTTTACTTACATTATATTATTATCAAATTTCATATGTGCATACATATGTATATGTTTGTATATATATTTTTAAAATATTTTAAGTGTATCTGACATAGAGCCACCTGCTTTCTTGAAACTTTCAATACTGTGGAATAAATTATAAAGATAATAAAAGCAATACAATGAAAATGTCAAACCAGCATTTTCAATTCATATGTCAGGTAATGTTTCAGATGATTGATAGATAGATAGATAGATAGATAGATAGATAGATAGATAGAAATGTGTATGTATATGTATACATAATCATAGTCTTGAAGTTCTACTATGTAGGATTAGGATTGTTGTAGTTATAGCACTGTAAGAACAATATTTTACATAGTGTTATTTCATTGATATAATTTTTATTGCCATTGTATAGACAAGATATCCAAGGCAAACAAAGTTGAGCTGGTGCTCAGAGACACACAGATTGGCTGGTTATCTGGGATTCTGAACTCAGTCCTTCTAGGTCCAGAATCTCCATTGCTGTGAGTCAGTGAATCTCTAGAGTCTAAAGTTAATAGATGATCTATGGTGATGATGCAAATGGAATAAGATGTTCCATGAACACAAAAACAGTAGAGAATGGCATAGGTTTACAAGGTGAAGTATTTTTTTCAAATGCAAATTCCAAACATAGTTTTCTTTAATGAGTTTTAAAGACAGAAGGAATATTTTAAATGGATATAAAGTACTAACTCAATATAAAGTTAATTTAGTTCTTGACACCTACCCAATATGTCTGCTTTGAAGAAAGGCCTCTGGAAATGGTTTCCATTATATAGTTCCCTGGTGCTGGTCTCTGGTTATCTATTCCAACTAATCAGGTGCTTTACCCATCTAGCCTTAAGGCAGAGGCACCTGAACAGACAGTTAAACTGATGAACTGATCTGCAAGGAGAGCAGAGTGTGCTGAAGCAGATGTGGAGCACAGGTCCCATCTTTAAGTCACAGTAAGACTTCCCATTTGACATCTTGGTCCACTGATTGTCTCATTGTCTGACAAATCAGATGATTCACTTCCTAGTCTGTGGGAAAGAGCTGGGATAGTAACAGAGTAACAGAGAGAGTGGGTGGAAGCTCAGATTAATGTTTCCTCTTGGAAACATCATGGTTCTCTATGAAATATTTTCAAAAATCTTTACAGTTATTTAATATTAAGAAAAGTTCTGAGTAAATTAAATGTTTGGTGATGTCCTGTAATAATGTTAGATTAACAGGGCTAGTATCTGAATAATAGTAAAATTGTACAAAAAATGGTAAAATATGATGAACTCAAAATTATCTGTGTCATTAAATCATCTGTTCATCAATGCTAAACAAACATGAGAACATTTTCACCATGGAAAGAAAAGGATGAGCATCATTAATACATTGTTCATTCATCTTGTAAAGAAGCCATGGACCTTTACTTAACAATTTAAGTATGTGATCTTATAATATTTACAAATAACTAGAGTATTGAGACTATGGTAAAATCAATTTTTTCCTGATTAAGAAAAGATAATCATAATCCTTTGTGTTGTCAAATATGGCAATACACTGCATCCCCTAAACACTTTATTCTAGTAGAGCCAGGGATGTGTGGGAAGACAAGCCAGCCCCTGGCAGAAACTCTCAGGACAAAGACGATACGAGTTATACAAATGACATGGCTGCCCTTGGATTGTTCTGAAGAAGACAGCTCATTCTCATCTGCTACAAGAGGCAAAAGAAAGCTGTTGGTGCTTTGGCTAAAAAAAAAAAAAATCATGTAAAATAAATACACATAATTCCTAAGGCCATATGTTCTTAAAGTTATTTATATTATTTAGATCTGGCAGTAGGTGAATAAAGCTGAAGTTTTATCTTAGTAACTTGAGATGCTGTAACAAAATACCACATTCTGGGTGGCTTAAACAACAGACCTTTATTCTTCACAGTTCTGGAGGCTGCAAAGTCTAAGATCAAGGTTCTGGTTGATTATTTCTTGGGGAGGTAACTCTTTCAGGCTTGCAGAAGTTTGTCTTCTTACTATATGTTTTTATATGTTGAAGAGAGAGTGAGCTCTACTGTCTCTTCTTATTCTTAGGACACTAATCACATCATGACAATTTCACTCTCAGGACCTCATCCTCATAATTACCTCCCCAAAGTCCTATTCGGTGTTAGGACTTCAATACTTGAATTTTAGGGGGACACAGACATTCAGTCCATAAAAAGATTTATAGCTGGATTAGATGTTCTGGTAAGATGACCTGGGAAAAGAAGAAAGAATTTGCAAACATTCTGGTTGTAGCATTTATACAATTTTCACATCTCCATAGTATTCCTTTAATTATGTTATGAGTCAAACTGAGGTGTCCAAAATTGTAATTGCACTTGAGAATGAAAACTTGGAAACTACAGTGCCTCTGAGTCTTCTTTAAAATTAATTGTAGACTAGTATATCAAAAGGATAGATGTCCAAAAAAATGAGGAAGTTAAGTATAGCCTGACATCGAATGATTGGCTATATTAAGTAAAAAAAAATTTAAGATACAAAAGATTTTAATCATAAGTAATCTTTTGTGTAAAGTGTTAGTGAGATATAACTATAGATGTTTATTTACAAAATAAAATTTTAGATGGGTAAATCAACATTATAATACAGAATAAAGAGAAGAGTTAAGTTATACAGCAGAACCTCTATAACTATGTCCTCTTACATAATTTTTACCTTGGGAACACATTTAATTTTCATACTCAAAATAAAAAATAGATAATACTAAAAACTGAACCCAATTGAAATGAATGAACCTACTATATCTCTAGTTAACGGCATAAACACACAGAACAAATACATATTGCAATTAATTTTTACAGCCAGTGCTTTATTTATATCGTTGCTGGAATTTCTCTGAAAAAAAAGTTTACATTTTCTTCACCAATTAATTGTTAGAAATAATATCAACATTATTTATTTTCAAATATGTGTGTCTGTGTGTATTAGGATAACACAAATTAGAAATTGTGTCGAACCCAATTTATGAACTTCTGCAGATAGCTTAAAAATAATGAGTGATATTATTGTTTTCTCTCCATTCATTATTGTTTTCTCTCATTCAAGCTATATGGTCAGACTTACGGATTTAAATTCAATGTTCAGGTCAAAACCTTTATGGTTGTTCTAGAGTAGACTCTTTGACCCCTGAATTCTTGCTTAGAAGTAGGCCCCAGATGCTGTTGCCACTGCCTCACTCCTAACACTGCCTGGCTGTCTTCAGCTCTTCTGGGTGATTGTTTGGTCTTGTCTGCCATGGTAGGAGTCACACCAGCTATGAGTAGGCTACCCTAACCACACCCAGGGACATACTAGCGGCTCTCACTACTTGTGGATTCAGATGGTACAAATATTAGGTGGCCTAATATGGGATTTGGTGTCTTTGGTGGCTTCCTAGAAAGGTTTAAGCAAGACACTTGAATGTCTTAGGCCATAGATAATTCTTGATATAAATTTGGACCAGTAAAGCACAATGTTTTACTAAAGCTGATGGGAAGGTTTTCTATGCCACTGAGTCTCTCCCCTTCCCTGAATTCTCTTTTACTCTAATTCTTCCTGTTTTGAGTTTGCATATTTTTATAAAATCTTAAGCAATCTGCCTCAAGTTATGTTTTATAGATGACTAGAATTTAAAAAGCAATTATGTTAATTTAGTTAGGAACAAAAGTTTATTTTGTAAAAGAAAAAAAAGAGCTATAGGTATGAAAGCAAAGAAGATAAGTTAAAAACTCTCTAATTGAGGTTGAATTGGAAATATCTGTATAATCTGACCAAAAAAGAACCACCTCATTTGCTAATGTTGTTCACTAAAAAGCAATCATAATTTAATAGTTATGAGCTTTTCCATTAGCTTGATCATGGTCTGTATTTATTATAGTTCCATAAAGAATACTTGATGACTGTTTTTAAGATCTAAAGCAGGATACAGAAAATGATATTGGGGGGGCCAAAGTGCAAGGTATAAAAAACATGAATCATGTCAAAAGACCATAGAGGCCAAAATGAAGAGGATCACAAGAGTCAAAGATAGTAAATTTTGAGCACCAAAAAGAATAATGAATATAATTTATTGGAACACATTCATTATGCAAAAATCATATGGACTCATAAAAATCTATGAGTCTATAATATGAAAGAGTGAGGACCAATAAAACAAAACAAAATTCAACTCATTAACCACCTTATTTAAAAGTAAAAAACTAAGAATAAAAATTTATCTTGCTTTCCCTTTATGAACTGACTTTGAATATAACCAAATATTCTTGGCTCCTGATGGCAAGTTCTCTAAAAAGAATTCTCACTCTTAGATATTGATGGAAAGATAGAATTAGAAAAATCACAATTTTGTGAACTTTAATAAAATAATAGTTATTTTGGATCTTATCAGAAAGTTCATGTCCAACTTAGACATCTAAAAACTTATGTATTTATATAGAGAGAGCTTATATAACTATATAGAGAGAGCTTTCTACAATAATGAAATGATTGTATAAATAGATTGAAGGAATATTGATTGATTACCTAGAGTCTAAGAATGTTTTTTATAATAAGGTGTGTTTGTAAGAATATTATTCGATTAAATTTTTAAGTGTTATTCACAAAATATTCTCTAGAATAAGTATTTATTCTTATGTAAGAATTTAGTCACTGGTTACTATCTTATAATAAACCTCTCAATAATAGAGCAGTATAAAAAGAAAAAGCATGTGGAGCATAACTAATATACTTTCTCATCATAAAGTACTATTATTGTTTATTATTGTTAGTAGTAGTAGTACTATATTACTCTTTTATTACACTCCATGAATGCATGTCTTTCTCACACAGGGCCATGCTAATCTTCTCTGTATTGCTCCACTTTCAGTATATGTGCTGCCAGAACCAACACACAAAATGTTATCTTAAAAGTAAAATAAATAGTATGTTTTGGCAGATTAAATTGTAAGCTTAGACTAGAAGCTTAATGGGTCAGATCAATGTGCAGTGTTTCAGAAGTAATTGGCAGCAGTGTGCAGTATATATTATAATTAGGAGTTCAGGCAAGTAATATATTATTGATAGCTCAGGTAGTGACAGAGAAAATGGACATGATGGTATGAATTTGAGAGGTGTTCCAGGAGAGCAGGTGGAGGGAAGAGAGAGAAAATGTTAAAGGGAAAGTCAAAATATAACTTCAATTTAAAACTTGGGTCAATGTTTACCTAGTTTTTTCAATAAGACAACCCCTGCAGATCACACGGTGTTACGCAGTGGTGACTACGAGGAAAACCTCTTTGAAAGGGTCATATCACTATGTACATAACAAGTAAGACATTAAGTCTATACTCGGTCTATCTCTCCACTTTCATCTCTCTATTGTCCCATAACTTCTTCCTTACACCCCCAAAAGCTAATCTATAGTTTTCCTGTATTTTTTATACCATTTTTGTCCCCGTATGAAATAATTCTCTCAAATCTCTGTTAGGTTAAATTACCCAAGTTCTTCAAGATTCCATCTAAGTGCTGTGTTCATCATCCCCAGGGCAAGATTATTTATTTCTTTTTCTATATCTCTATAAAACTTAGTTTATTACTTTGTTAAAACCCTCATAACATTAAGTTTTTTAAAATTGCATGTTTCATTTTATTCTACTGGAATTTAAGTATTTAAAGCAATAACTTGCTTTGTCCTATGAGTGAAAGTAATTACAGTTAAAAAAAATGTAATTATGTAAATTGCTATGTGTTATTTAACATTAACTAATTGAGGCATGTTTACCTACTCTTGTCATTGACTTTGCTAAGCTGCTGGTGATGCAACACTAAGCAGACTGTTGTGGTCTCTGGGCTCCCAAAGTAAACACCTAGCAGGTGACCCAGAGAATCAAAGAGATTAGTAAAGCAGTGTTAAAAATTTAATAATGATGATGATAATGGTGATGCTGATATTAGCTAAAAGTTATTCAGTACCTTTATGTGTCAAGCATAGTTCCAAGTACTGTACATGCATTAGCTAATCCAACCCTCCCAATTCAGTTAAGGAAAACCCAGAATATTTTTGTGGAGCACAGTAGGAGAACACCTGAATAAGGGTGTCATTGAAAATTCTCCTAACAATGTGATTTCTTCTAAGTTAAAACCTAAAAAAATGACTTGGGAGAGAAGGGAAAGGAAACCAAAGGGAAAGGAACAGAAAGGAATATGATATAGTGATGGTTAGAGAAATGAAACGTGTTTCTAACAGAAAACAATGATAAAAGATCCATCAACATATTTGCACTTTCTGCTTCTGAAGTCATATTATATATCATGGAGCTTTACTTGTTTGGACAAAGTTACAAAGCTGTAAATTGGACTACACTCACCATCCTCACTTCACAGATAAGAGCACTGAATGCCAGTTCAAGGAAATGAGTTTTCAGTGCCATGCAGAGTCACTGGCAAGAGTCAGGTTCCCAGATGAGGCTCTTTCCAGGACACCATGCTGCTGGCTGTGAGGATTGTTAAATGGTTTCCACTGCAGCCAGCCAGCAGTAAGTGTACATAGACAAAACACCATGCTTTATGATTCCCAGCGACCACATTGCAGCTCCAGATCTTCTCTTAATTATTTTTTAATAAGAAAACTATAAATTATGAAATGTAATAGTACATATCTATACTTACTCTCTAAACAGATGTGATCTAAAAATGATTCCTCCCAATCTTTCCCATAACACACCTGTTTCACCCTGAAAATGTTCCATGACTTTTTATCTTATGGGCTATGATTCCTTCTTCACCAAATCCCTAATCAACCATCTTAGTTCACTCTTATTTTGAAGTGGTGCCCTGCAGTTGTCAAAGCGTTGTGTTTGGAGGCAAACTGACTGATTTCCCACTTCTGGGTGTGCTTCTTGCCAGCTGTGTGATCAGGTACTGTTCAATAACATCTTTACATTAGTTCATGAGCTCGTGGTGTTCTTCAGGAACTTAAAAGACCACATTCATGCCAAGCTCGATGCACAGATCTTGGAATGTGGTATTTAAAAAAAAAAAAACAACTAACTTGTAAGAGATATTTTTTAACACTGAATCATAAAATCACAGCTAAAATATTTAACTACTTTAACCCTTCCACTTCACTGATAGGGTTTGTGTTACAAGACAACCTCAGGTGAAATGGGGGAGACCTGGGTTTTGAGTCCTCCCTTGCACACTTAAGAACACAAGACAAGACCCAAAAGCAGCTAGACAGAAAAAAAAAAAAAGGTTTATATTATAAAAGGTTTATATTATAAGGTGAGTTAGGAGAAGAGAGAGACCGTTACAGAGACAGGGAGAGACAAATTTGTATTACAAATAATGCCATCTGAAAGGAGACTAGAGTGTAACCTAAAGCTAGAAAAATAAGAAGACGCAGGACTGCGTGTGCATTGTCTTTTGAGCCTAATAAGCCCACACAGCTCCATCCCTAGTTCCCAGCAGCCCCCCATTCATAAAGTCAGGTTCACTGTACCCTGGGAGTTACAATGCTTAGTATCTGAGATCTTGATGGTGGGGAGAAGAGGGTAGAGTCTGGAAAGCTCCACTTTCACTATGAGCGTCCCCCACTGGCTCAGAGTTTGTTCCTCGTTGTTCTTCTAATATTTGTACACTAGTGAAGTACCTCCTTGTTAAAATGAAATATACATTTAGTTCCATTTAGTTCACTAGACTGAGAACTTCATAAGAGCTAGGACTATGACTTTTCTCTATATTCTGTTATTTACCATTTTTACAAATATGTAGTCAACATTCATAAATATTGATTGAATTATTTATTTGGTGTCTGAGCCAAAGCTAAAACTTAGGATTCTGGACATACAGTCCTGCATTTTCTTTTCTTTTTTTTTTTAAAGATTTATTTATTTATTTATACAAGCACTGGGTAGAGTCAGAAGCGCGGGAGGGCTAGAGAATTCACCAGAGCCAGAGAAGGGAGCAGAACAGGCAGACCGATGAAATACACTGCTGAGGGGAGCAGCAGGCGCAACAGGAGAGGTCTGTGTGCCATGTGGGACCCTCGCTGGTGGCCAGGGATCGAACCGGCACTGCAGAGGCTGCGGGCAGCTTTGCAGCCCAGCTCTCAACCACTGCGCCACTAGGTGAGGCCCTGTATTTTCTTTTTTATAGCACAAATAATTAAGGTGAAATTGAAAGAATGCCTGGTAATTCATTCTGCAAAGCATAATCTAGAGAAAATTTGGTGTTAGAAAGTTTCACATTATTCCATGATGTCCCAATAAGCAGTTTTTCATTCAACCCTGTTGGTTCAAATTCCCATGAATTTTAATACTTGGGAAGGGAATAAGGACTACAGTTGAGCATTTAGGAAGTGAAGCAGTATTTCATGTGAATGCCTGGCTTGGTTGTGCATGTATAGAATGATTCCTGCACTGTGTTTATGCATTTTAAATTGTGTTCTTTATAACTCCAGTCCAGAGGAAATATCATCTCTGAGCCAAACTGGGGCAGGACATTCCAACTTAATAAAGTGGAAGTGAGAAATCTCAAACACGTATCATACCTCTTGAACTTGGCTACAACTAATTATATAGAAATAAATCCTACAATGAGCTCCTTCATCATATTATCCTTACCAAAACCATAACCATAAAGAGCACATGGATGACTGTTATTTCCAAGCTCACTTAAGTTGCTTAAACTACAGAGTTCCCATCCCAAATTTTAACAGCTGATGGAAATAAAGTTGTGGCTTACAAATGTGACATGCCATAGAAATCTGAACAGTTTCTCTTGATGGGATGACATCATAGTCTCTCAATAACACAGTACACACTTTTTTGATTTATCTACTTAAAAAAAGCCAAAACCCCAAACCAGCCATTATTGCATGCCAAAAAACTTGAGCAATGATTCCTGCTCCCTCCTTTGTGCTCATCCCTCTTGGGTCAGTGATAAAATATACATGAAACACATGATTCCTGTCTGCCAATTAGAGTTGGAAGTATAACATTTTCCTTTAACTTAACATTTATGAAGCAATTTACTCTTGAAATGGGGAGGGGGTTGATGTGATGTTTTTCAGATGGTAAACTGTGTTATCTGCTTGAAAATGCAAACAATTCAGGGACTGACAGGTTCAATTCTCAAGTAGAGAAGATGAATTGTGAGATTTGGGCACTGGTTAACTATTCAATCATTCTACCGCCCTGTCTGTGGGAAATATGCTAACAGTTTATTGCTATAGCTATTGAACTCCCAGGGCAAATAAAGTTCAAAATTCCCCAGTCTTGATGTCAGTGGCTCTTATTGCATTTAGTGGATGAAAATCACCCTGATATTAATATTTGGATTGATCTGGATGGTAGTAAAAGGAATTTTTTATCACAAAACAGAATCCTACAGAATCAAATCCTAATTCAAGAGGCTATTCAGTTTACTCTTACAACTAGTCTCTCTTATATAGAAATGTCTATTGACTTTTTATATTCCATATTCACCCACATAAACTCCATAGCTCTGCATTCATTCTTACTTTAGCTTGATCATTACCCAGTTAAATTCCAAGACTTTAAAAAATAGTATATTTATAATACATCTAATTTTTCAGTAAGCAAAGCCAAAACCAAACAAAAATATTCTATCTCTTTTTCTTATGGAAAAATTTTAAAAGTCTTTAATATTGGGATGGCTTGCATTTTAAGGAAAGAACAGCCAGGGGTCTGGTTTGGCATAAGGAATAAAATAACAAGATAAGCAATGAAAACAGACTAATTTTTCCTAGTCACAAAAGAAATTTATGGCATGTGGAAAGGTGTGCCTGTTATGAGGTTCATGAAGCTTATGAGATTTGTGACTCAGCATAGAAACACAAGAAAACATTTTTATTGGATGAAGCTTCAGCATATATTTGAATGCATACAC